TCTTTGCGCGGTTCGAGCCCCCCCTCCCACATAGTTCGCAGAAGCGTCACACAGCAATTAAGGTACGCGCGTGCTGACAGAGTCCAACACGCAGAAGCTTTGCACATCCAGACCGTGCAACTTCTTTGCGGGTTCAGGGCGAAGGGCGTTCCGGACTTGGGGTTTGTGGTCTTCTGGCGTTTAACAGGTAGGCCTACTTCCATCGCAGAAGTGGGCATGAACAATTTCGGGGCAGTTGCGGCTTCCCTATAAATCCTAAACGGACGGGAGCGACGCTTTGTTTTGTTGGAAGGATGGGGCTCCATGGGGCTGGGAGAGGCTATAAGCTGCAGAAATCAGAATTCAAAGCCAAACACAAGGGCTGGTTGCAATCTGGGATTTCCAACAGGTTTTTTTTTCTCGGATGGGCCGGATACGTGCTTGAGTCGCAGCTTTGGGTTTAGGGTCACGGATCTGCTTTATGTCCGACAGGAATGTGGCGAACACTTTGTGGGACTCTGGCACGATGGGCCTGCGAGGGGCGGCGTGGATGCAGGGGCTCGCTGAAGCAGCTCTCAGGACCTTGAGTGGGATTTTGGAAAGTTGTTTTTTTGGGGAGCTTAATGGGTAACCTGGATCCATAGCCATAGCCCTAAGAACAGCTTTCTGTTTGGAGCAGGCTAGAACAGAACAAAATTCTGTGTTCTGGGTTGTGGTTCCGACAAGCTGCGAGCAGTAATTTGGATCAGCTCCTCGCTGAGATAACCCTCCCTCCCCCCCAAAAAAAATCTGTACACCCCTCAAAAATTACTAGATTGACCTTGATGCCTAAAAACCCTCTTAGACCATCCTAGCTTCAGGAGAGTTCAACACAGCGAGGCCTGGCAGGGTTTAGGGTTTGGGGCTCCAGCATGCTGTAGTTGTTTGTAGCCAGCCTGATGCGCCTCGTGTTGCCCGGCAGTCTGAACCCTAGTCCAGTGGCAGATATGTATGTACGTATGTATGCATGTATGTATGTATGCATGCATGTATGTATGTATATATGCGAGTAAGTGTATGCTAAACTCGTATTTTTGTTGTTCGAATCAAGCCCCTCCACAGCCTGGTCTGATCCGTTACGCCCCAAGAAATGATGCCTTGCATTCGGAGGCCGATGTTTCTCAGAACACTTCAAACGTTGCCCGGGCGATGGGAATCTTGGATTTCCTTGGGCGGACTTAGTCAAATGACAGTGTTTTCGACTTTCTGTATGGGTGGTTCTTAATTTAGGAGGGAAAGCCGGTGCTTGTAAGGAGGATTTTCTGATACTCCATTTTTTTGCATGTTGTTGCCACCGGTTGGTGGTTGGTGTGAAGCTTGCTGTATTTGCCTGCATTTAGGGGCTTCAGTTTCACCTGTGACTCCTCCGCCCCTTCCTTACACTGGTACGGAGCATGATTCTGCAGCCAGTTCATCGGGGTCCGGGGAGGTATGACCCTTCTGGTGATCCTTGTTGCTCTTCTTGTGGCTCACCCGACCTTGCCAGTAGCTCTGCCCACAAAACTCGGCCGAGGCCAGCTAGTAAGAAACCTTAACAGTGTCTTCTTGCAAGACAGAAGCACCCAGCAAAGCATATCTCCCAAGCCCCCCTTAGACCATGACGACTCTTGAACCGTTGTTTATGGCCCGAGCATCAAGCCGTCTAGGAGTTGCATCTTTGCTTGACCTATGGCCTAGAATTAAGAAGCATAATGCTAAGACCAAACTACATTGATATAGGTTTTTTAGCTCCATATTTAACGCTTATCGAGCCTTCTGGTACCTCATCCCAGGAAGCATGCTCTACTTTGGTGCACCGCTACTGGATGCACTTCCGTCATGCTTCCTGCGTGACGCTGGGCGGCAGACCAACGATGTCTTCGAGCTTGTGATTTGGGGTCCCCAAACTTCTAAACCCTAAGAGAGAAAACCTAAACCCCAAACCCCCAAGCCCTAAAACCCTCCAGCTCTACAGGCTACAGGGGCTCAGGCTTACCTTCCCTGACGGCTGATGCCCAGGACAAGGAGAATCACGACGAACAGGGATTGGCCAACTTGGCATGAGAGTTTGCGCAGCTGGCAACATTGAGCGAGGCACTGTTCAAGGGAGCTGCGCAGGCGAGCCTCGGGGGGCGTAGAGCGCTTCGGGTTAAGGATTGTAAAGGTTCTACATTGAGGCTGCTGGCCTAGAGTTGCTTTTGGGGCTGCCTGGATTCTGCTTTGTTCTTGTCCCGCCCCTTACTTCGATGTTATTGTTATAAGAATCAAGCTGTAAGAATCTAGCTGCCTTCCGGCTAGTGGCAGCTAGTCTAGGCAAAGACTGCTAGCTACTTGCACGCATCCCGTAATCCTGAACTCAACCAGAAGGCAAAACGAAGCTGCACTGTTCAGGCGTGCGTGTCACGTATTCAAGGCTTCGATGGGCAGCACCTTGCCAACGCTGCTTGGGGCTTCGCTCATCTGCAGGCAATGGACACGACCTTGCTTGCTGCTACTTGTGACTTGGGCATTGTTGAGAAGATCTTGGTCCTCCAGTGGTCATGCCATTGTCTTTGTTTTGGTCTTCATTTTGGGGTCTCCGTACTACAGAAGTTTGGGTAAGGGAAACGGGGCATCCTCGTCATGAATGGGCCTGGACATGAACCAACGGTGTCAAGTCTTAAACTGCGCTAACCTTAAACCTTAGCTTGCGGGGCTATTTTGGTAAACCAGGCAATAGCCCTAAACCCCGAGCTCTTAGCCCTAACCCCTGAGCCTCTAAGCCCGAAAACCCCTCACAGTCTCTCAGGCCAGAGACTCGCCAGCCTCGATGACTCGGATCTCACGTCCCAGAGCTGCTGCGACTTGCACTGGGCCCTGGGCATCCTCCAGGCGGACCTTTTTCGGGGCCCCAGGACTCCGGAATGCGGCCTCATGATCTTCAAGTTCGAGTGCTTTAGGACCTGTTGGCAGGGCTCGTGAGCCGTCGTGTTGCAAGTCTTCGTAACAGTAGCCTGTTGTGGGCAGCAGTCGGTGCCAGCAGCACGAGGTGAGTCGGGACTTGTCCGTAATCATACGAAAGGAATTAAGGCCTGTAAAGTTGACAAGAACATGAGCATGCTGTGAATAGAACTTACTGATACATAGATATGTATGTATGTTTGTATATATATATATGAAAACAGTAGTGTACAATACGACGAAGAGCTCATACTCAAACCCAAGAGCTGTTAAGCTTGAGACCCTAATCCTGAAACACAGGCCCAAAGCTCTGGACTGACGTCCTATAGTCACCCGCAGACCCTTCAGTGATCCCCCACCCAATGGCCCTCGACCAGACACCAATATGAGTTCGATCTAAAGAACAGCTCTACTCAAGTTTTAACGGCCTGAGGGTTCCATGCATCACACTGATTGAAAAAGTCTTCAACCTCCGGCACTGGCAGGCTGACGACCGGATTCTCCATTCCCTTCGTAACCATGCAAGTCCGACTCTGGATGATCTGGTCGGCGCGCTGCGACTCTCGGTTCGATCGATACGCAGGGGTCAGTGCCCAGAAAGCATTGAAATTTCCGGGGGGTTGGGAATTGGGCATAGCGTGACGGCGGCGAACTGCTGGACAATCTGGATTGGCCCGGGCCCATGTAGCGCCAATCGTAGGAATGGTTAACCAGTGAGAGACTTCCAACAAATCAGGCGCTGGCAAGCGAATTGCCACGATGTTTGCGAAGCTTAACCAAAGCACACCTAGTAGAATATCACAATATCTCGAACCGTGAGGCCTGATGCCCAAACGTTGAAAAGGAACAGCAAACAGGCGTTAGCACCCAGAACAGCGCAAGAGACTCCGGATCCAATCCCCGAAGTGCAAAGAGCAAAATATCTCTCTACACCCTTCGACCCATGTCTGCACCATGAGTTAGGAGATGTCGGAGACACCGTTCATGCCTTGCTGCGATATCAGCAAACGGCCTTCGATCACCAGGTGGGGATTCCTGGTGCATGCGCGGTCTCTGTGTGTGTGTGTGTCTCTTTGGACTCTTTGTCTGTCTGCCTGTCTGTCTGTCTGTCTGTCTGTCCGTCGGTCCGTCGGTCCGTCCGTCGGTCGCTCGGTCGGTCGGTCTGTTTGTCCGTCTGTCTGTCTGTCTGTCTGTCTGTCTGTCTGTCTGTCTGTCTGTGTTGGTGTTGTTGTTTTGTTTGTTTGTGTGTTTGTTGGTTTGTTTGTTTGTTTGTTGGTTGGTGCTTGGCGCAGTCAGACAGACAGTCTAGGCTTAGTTGCTTCAGAGCTGTCCCAGTGAATTCATGAACCTGCCAGGATACCAACTAATTGTGCAGACACTTGTGTGTCACGACACACAGCCACAAGGTTGACTATTATCTTGTCTCCATATGAATGTCAGAAACACGTGTGTTGTTTTCGGTTGCTGCGCAATAAATGTTTCCAGTCTATTTGTGCCCTCGTCGCTTTTTAAAGTTGATTTAGGCGACTTTTTTTGACGGGAGTTTCAACATCTGGCAGTGTTCCTATGTCAATCCTTAGTACCACCATGTAGCGCCCTTCCAACCTCTTAAGTTTCACTTCTTGGTGCTTCAGGTGTTGAACCTGCGGGAGTTTACCAAGGAGCGGACACCTGCTTCGTTCGCTGAGGGCTCTATTCGCAGTCTAGCGTGCTTGGTTGTGCAGCCCTTCCATGGTATTTTGAAGTCTACAGTGTCTCCGTCACTGGATGATTGGGCTGTATAGAAACCCTGAACCCTAAATTCCTAAATCCCTAGACCCTAAACATTTTGTACCATCATGATAGGAAACAGACAGAGTTCGTACACCTGCCACACCCCGCCTCGAGCACCAACGAGTTACTTCACCCAAATCAAAGTTTGCGATCCAGACCTGGTTGAATCGCCGAAGATACTCAAGCCTCTATTGTCGTAGAGCCATTTTGACAAGCAAAGGTCTTGCAGTCGGATCCGGCAAGTGCCGCCTTTCGCACATGAGTTTCGAAGCCCCCCGATCGCCAAGCCCTGAACCTCTGTTTCACACACTGGCTTTAAGTCCTCTTCCCACCTTCGGTATGAAGGCGCCTCTTCTAGGTTCCTGAGTAGTGGTCTCCTTATTAAAACCGAATATAAGGAAAAAGGGTACCCTTATTATTATTTAGGGGTCACTCAGGAGCCTAGTCTTTCAACCTCCCTCAACCTTACAGGACTGGACAACTCTACTGGTGGAATCCCGCGGTTGCAAGTTCAAACTGATGCTCAATATTAATCCAGCCTAAACCCCCGGCTAAAACCTCCGCCTCCTGACATCATCGCACTCGTTGCTGCAGCGAAGCGCAGGAGATCATGGCGCGATTCGACACTCTGGTGTTGAGTACGCAACCTTGTTTTGACAGTTTTGAGAAAGAAGGTGAACTCTGGTGCAGACCAAGAGGCCGAACCTCGGGTTGGGTTCATGGTCATAGGAAGTTGAAGTGGTTTTGGAAAGGCAAAGGTTTCCCAAACTCCCTACAGTTAAGCCACTTAAGCCTATATTGGCCTAGATTACTTATGAACCGAGCCTTGCTGTTGTCGCCTTTGGGAAACTCAGCAAGTGAGGAAATGCCTCGGGCCACGGAAGCCTTCGGGCCAAGGGCGAAGCGCGCGCTGGAGATGCGCTATGGCGTGCTGCAACCTTGGTGCCTTGGTGGCTTCCCCCCGAAAGAGCTGAAGGCCTCACCAAAACAGCCCAAAATCACACATAAAAACCGCGAGCTATACAAGAATGAAAAGGGAAAAAAACTGTCGATGCTCCAAGCTGGAGAGTGTTGGAGTTCGGTTCAGGTTGGAGATTCCCGTGACGTACGGTGCTGCGGGGTATGTCGGGGTTGCGGGACTTGTAAGTTCAAACCTGATGTTAGGTTGCAGAGACTTCGGGTGTACATGGTTATGGGTTGAAACCTGGAAACAACTTGAGAATTCGGAAAGCTGTTTAGGGCTTACGGCTGCCGATGTCAGAAGGCGTCTCGAACCCATGTTTAACCACTGTTGCCCCTATCTTAGCTTAGCTTTCATTGCAAATCCCACGTTGTCAGCACAAGGGGCGTTGTCTTCTTAGTGTTGCCTGACATGTACAAGCCTGTGCAAAGTTCAGGAGAGGTGTTTGGGAGATCGGTGTAATGAGGTCATTCCAATTCTGGTGCGTGAGCAAATTCGAGATAGAGAGCTCTCGGAGCCTGCCTGGACCCGCTCTTTGGACCCATCAGGCCAGACACACAGCCTAAAGCCTTATATTCTGCAAGCTTCAGGCCTAGATCCTACACCTGCACACAGGGTCCCCGAAGCATGAACCAAGGCGAGTGTTTGCCTACTTGGAGTCAGCTGGCTGCACGGAGTTCTTGCCTTGAATCGAAACCCCCGAACCACGAAACCCTTAACACTTCAACTCCTGTCACCTGTAATCTTGAAGCCTAACCCGCAAGCCCCTGAGCCTGAAAATTGTGTGGAGCCTTGCCTGCCTGGTGCGAGTGTGAGAGTCGAAAATAAACCTTTAACGTGCTAAACCCATCCTAGTTAGGCCAATCCATGGTGCGAGTCCTGACCAACGCGGGGTTTCATCACTTCGCACGGCTGTGAACCCAAAACTAATCACGTTGACCAACCCCGCAACCCAGAGTGAACAACTACGGTTTACTTCCAGTGAGTGTTGCTCAGTCCCCTTTGCCCCAGGCGGCACTGAAGGGAAGTCCAGGATTTAGTGTCAGGGCTCAGGGTCCTGTTGACCTTGTGTTTAGATTTAATTGGGTGTTGGTCCTGGGTCGTGAATTCAAGCTTTTGGTTTTGGGTCTCGCAGGGTATCAACCCAGGGCTGAGATATATGACCTATGCAAGAGGTACGCCGCAGCCCCGGAAGGATCAACGGATCCTGTCAGCGAGTGGAGCGGGCAGCTGCTCTACGAATCGGGACTGGGATGTTGCACATCTAAGTCTATTGTAACAATCATTTTTTCATACACATATATGTATCTTTATATTATATCATGTCTATATTTATATGTACATCTGTGTATATATGTATATGTAAATATATATATATATATGTGTGTGTTGTCTTTGTCGTCTATAATATAAGACCTTATTTTTATGAAACTATGCTCCCTCTGTGTGCATGTGTGTGTGTGTGCGTTTTTTTGTTCAGGGCTTGCTTGGAGCGCTTTGTAGGTAGGCTTGCATGTGGTACTCATCTTACACACTGTCGCCCCGATTCTATATCGATTGTGGGTCCTGGGACAAAGTCGAGCGGATCATTGCCCCACGACGCCAACGCTGAGTCTTCAATTTTTGGCTGCTTGTTGGGTGTTGCGGGCCATCCAGCACTGGTTGCGCCCCCAGGCCCCGGCACCCTGGCGCCCTGAACCCTAAAATCAAAGGGAAAGTTAAGGCTATCCATGATAAGGCCCTAGTCTAGATTCCAGGAGTACCTCCCTGACACGGTACGAAGAAATCATTGCGGTCTCAGAAGTCTGCGGGCTTAACCATTGCCGGAGGCGGGGGCCCGTGTTAAACTCGGCAAGCCCGAACCCCAAGCGCCGTAACCTGCCTGTCCGGTCCCTTACAATGTGCGAGGCACACATTCCCAAACGTCGTAAAACAAAAAAGGAAGCTCGGACCTGACCGAAGGCAATCGCCCCGACACAAGAGTTGGACCCTTAAATCTGCTCGAACTGTTCCAGTCCAGGAGGACAGGGTGGTCCTCCATGTCAGCTTCAGGCGATTCGGCTCCCGCTGAGTGGCCGGGTGACCTTGCTTGGACCTACGGCTGTAGTCGGTTCTTCGGGGTATAAGGGTTTAGACTTCTACGAAGCTACATGGGTAGCCTTCGGGTTTCTGGAGTTTGCGTCGGCCCTACTTCCCGGACCGGAGTTCGCACCACTCTACCATCATGCTGAAAAGGGTAAACGTTTGGCTAGGGATCAGAAACAAGCGACCACTCCGATAGACCCTAAGCCCTATACCCTATAAGCCCATAAATGGTGGCGCCGGATCTTAGGCTTACGGCTTCCAGGGGTTTCGCGTTCCATGTGATGGGCTTCGTGTTTAGTGGCTGGAGAGGATTCTATGGATTCCTATTTTGTAAGATCGGGGATTCAGGAGCTGGGATCAAGTGGCTTTAGGAGTGAGAGGCTTTGAACTTCCATTGGCATTCAGTCGACATGCTGCCAAGTTATTCCGGTGCCTTCAACTAGGGATTCCGGGTTTAGGCTCTTGAATCGGGTGTCGGGTTTATACACGCTTGTGGAATTCATGTTTCGTCTTTGGGATGGGAGGTGCAGGATTCATGAGCATGGCGCGTAGCTGCAGACGAACTCCGAGTGCCCGCGCCTGTAGGGGCCATTCAGAAGCCAGCCTGCGCAGGCCCGAAAACAAGCCGGAACCCTTCTAGAATAGGCCCTATAATCCCTAAAAGCCCGAAGCCTCCCAGCCTCCCCCAACCGAAATTCGTCTTACATCAACCATCTACGTAGCTCCAAGCCCAATACTCGGACCCCAAGTCCAGCCCCCAGCTTCGTCACCACGCTTCTTCAGCCCTGCTGCTAGGTGAAAAGAGAGCTCTGTGCTGAGTTTCAGGCGCTTTCTGAGCCTGGGACTTTGTGTTAGTGTTTGTTGGGCTTGGGGGTTTGGCAGTGTTGGTTTCGGTGGCTAGATTTTGTACGGGGCACCTTGGGTTTCCGGGGTTGGGGTTAGGGCCTATAGGGGTCTTTGGCATCATGCTTCAGGCTAGTTTGGGGCTTTAGGGTTCAGGCTTGGGGGCTTTGGATCTCGAGTTTTGGCCCTGCTGTGCATGGGGTTGTGAGCATGGCATGGAACACATTTAGCCCTTATAAACCTATACGCCCTAAACCGGTAACCAAAACATGCTTCATGGGCCCAAGCTCCAAGAGCCTATAAGCCCTGAAAGGAGCCGAAATTTGACAGTAACTCAGTTGCAACGACTGCGCAAGGAAAGGGCCTCCGAAAGCCTAAAGCCTGAATAGCAATAGACATGATAGGAATGCCCAGCCCTGAGAGCCAATGCTATGCACGCTCGCCCTGCCGGGAGGCAAACCAGCCCCAGAGCCCTAAATCCCTAAGCCACTAAGGAGCTGACGAGGATTCTCTCTGACAGCGCAGTGGCTCCGTCTCAGCTTGTCGGGGTGGTGTCTGTGTTACTCGGCAGTTGAGCTCCTTAAGGCGCTATGTCGATATAGTGGGGTTTGAACGGTTCGGGGTCTTGGGCTTCAGAGTTTGGCTGTATTGTCTCGGATTTCGAGCGTAGTGTGGAAGGGCAAGCTCTTCAAGGCACTTGTCTGTTGTAGGTCTTGAAAGTCTTCGCTGATTTCCTTCTGGTTCTGCTCTTGCACACCCAGTTCATGTTCAATCCTCTGAAACCATGCGTCTTCAAAACCCTGCTATACCCTCGAGCGATCAGAAGTTTAACTCCGCGAAGTACGCCCGGAACTTCACTCTGGCGGCCTTTGGGGGCTTGAGGCCTTGGGGATGTAAGGTAGCCGTTCACTCCTGTCCAATCTAAGCCAAAGCCGATCGCTAAGTATCACCGAGCTCCCGTATGAACTTCGACGATGATTCCGATTGACGGGTCTAGCCTCGACGAAATCCCATGCAGCTCTCACCATGTGGACGTTCACCATCTCAAACCCTGATCGAAGCTTGCATCTATAAGGCCTTTGAAGGCTAAGCCGGCTAAGCAGTTAAACCCGAAGCCCGATATGTGAGCGCCGAACTCGAATCGGACTTCGACGCGGTGTCTCGCGTTGTAGTCCTGCAAAACAATGGTACAAAAATACACCAAACCTCAAACCTTAAACTCGCAAAAAGCAATATAGATGAAGCCGCCTAAACTCAACCACTGAACAAGAAGCAAAGACTGTAACACCCCAAAACTGGCCCAAAACTTAGTAGCTGAGTAGGTAACCTCTAACCGTTTTGGGCTTATATACTCCTACCATAATTATAAGGTTCACCTTTTTTGGGCTCTAGGGTACTCCGCCCCCCAAAACAAGCTCGAGGTTCACCACGATCAGCCCATGCCTCTCCTGTCTGGCGGCACTGCGTCAGTTCCAGCGGCGCTTTCCAGATCTGGGCCTCGAGCTTCTGGAGCTTCCGGAGCTACAGACGCTCGCTTTTTTCACAGGAAGGTATAGACCTTCACGGCGCTTTTTTTTTTGTGTGTGTGTGTGTTTTTTTAGGGCTTCTATGTGTTTTCGGCGTTTTAGAGCTTCACGCTTTCAGAGTTTTCGGGTTTGGAGCTTCATGTCGGGATTTTGAAGTGTGCTTGCGGATTGTAGGGGCTTGAGTAATGAGGAACTCGCTTTTGGGGTGTACTGTCCTTGGTGAGGGACTACCAGGGGATTTATAATTTGTCTTAATTCAATGACTGGAACTTCTTCATATTGGAAAAATTGCTCTGGGCCTTGGGGTGCACCAGGTTGGGAGGCCGAAGGGTTTCGGAGGCGTTGCGGGCTTACGGCTAGCAGGCATGCAATTACGCCGGTTCGGTGTACCTGACTTGGGCAGTAAGAGATCCCACTCCTGTGCTATCTGATATAACCATGCAAGAAATATAAGTATAAGGAAATACACTGTCGATTCCACGCTCTAGCACCCTTTACCGGTCAGCCTCACGGTCATCCCAAGCTGG